CTATGAGCGCCATCAAATGGCATTTTAAGATACTTTGACGCAGTTTGACTTAAGTTATGCTTGGGCCAGTACTTTGGATGAGGCCCTGAAGATCGTTTCTCTTGGGACACTCAAGCAGGCACGTAGTGCGTACCCAGGATTTCGCCCAGGAGGGGGGCGCCTGCTCTCAAAGGAGCCCACGGGTCACCCGGATGCCGCTGTCAACCCAGGCAGGGGCGTATCCAGAACCTTTCGATGAGGGGATTGGGCACAGTGGGTCCGCTTCCCCCTTGCAGACGGGCCCCTCTGTCCGTCTGTCTGTCTGTCTGTCTGTCTAAGTCCTGAGAAAATGTGCAAAATTGGCAGGTAAAAATATCATTTCTTGCTTGAGAAGTATGCATAAAATGCACGGTATTTTATGACGAAGTGAAGCGAGCGAGCGCCTCAGAGTCACCTGTGTTAGTCCCTCAGAGGTGTCGGTAAAAGGCTATCAGATGCGCCGGTGTGGGGTCCTCAAAGGCGCCGTTGTGAGGGCCTTAGGGCTTAGAGACACTGGTGGGGGCCATCACTTAGGCGTGTGTGGGGCCCTGAAAGTTACTGGTGGCCCTTCATAGGCCGGCAAGGGACCATCAGAGGTCGGTAAGAGGCCCTCAGAGTCGCTTGTAAGTGACCGTCAGATGCGCTGCATAGGGCCCTCTGAGGCGCCGGTGTGGGGGCTCTCAGAGCCGCCGAAGTAGGCCCTTAAAAGGCACTGGTGTGGAGCCTTTAGAGGTGGCAGTGGAGGCCCTCGCAGGCGCCGTTGTGAGGGCCCTCAGAAACACCGGTGTGGGCCGTGGGCCATAGCAAACGGGTATGAGGCCCTTATAGCTGATCTCTCATTAGCCTTCAAGGACCCTCAGAGGCCGGCAAGGTCCCTCAGAACCTGCCGTGAGGCCCCTCTGGAGATAAGTGTGGCTACAGAAGAGCCCATGGGGTGTTCTCACATGCCCTGTGGTCTCCTTTCCAGTTGAAGCGTTGCCAGCGCGGGCCCTCTGCCGCCAATTGGCACCGCAGGTCCTCTCGGACCCGAGGGGACCCTAAACCCTATAACGGACACGTGCCCCCTCGCCCCTGGCCACACCATTGAATCCAAATGATCACGGCCGTTCAGGTAATCAGGGGCCTCTCAGGTGACCAGGGGCCGCCTTTCAATTGACCATGGGTCTTTCAATTGACCAGGGGCCCACCAGGTGACCAGGGAACCCTCTGATAACCAGGGGACGGTTATACCAGGGGCTCCACGGGTAACTAAAGGCCTTATTGAGACTGCAGGGGCCCTTCATATAATCAGGTACTCCCCGGGTAAACATGGGCCCTTCAGGTGACCAGGGTTTCTTCAGAACACTGGCCAGGGGTTACCCAGGGTATCAGGGGCCCCTCAGGTAGCTAGGGGCCCTTTAGATAACTAGGGGCCCCTCAGGTAACCAGGGGCCCCTCAGATAACCAGGGGTCCCTCATATACCAAGAAGCCCCACTGGTAACCAGGGGCCTCTCAGAAAATCAGGGGCTCTCAGGCAATCACGAGCCCCTTAGGTAATCAGGGGCCCCTCAGGTAAGCAGGGGCCCCCAGGAAACCATGGGCCCCTCAGATAACAAGGGCCACTCAGGTTACCAGGGCCCCCGTAGCCAGGGGTCCCTCAGGTAACCAGGAGTCGTTCAGATAACCAGGGACCAATCAGGTAACCAGGGTCCCCTCAGATAACCAGGGGCCCCTCAGATAACCATGGGCCCCCCAGATAACCAGGAGTCACTCAGGTAACCAGGGGCCCCTCAGCTAACCAGGGACCCCTCAGGTGACCAGGGGGACCCTCAGGTAACCAGGGCGCCCCTCAGGGCCCCCATGGCCCCCTTGGGTACGTCACTGCACTCAAGTGACCCAAAGGGCCCACTTACATGCTTGATGCCAAAGGGGGAGGCCATGACCTCTTGGCCTCCCCCTGGATACGCCACTGGGTAGCTTCATTCCTTCTACCAAGTATTGGACTACATATTCCTGATGCATGTGGGTGACCCCTTATGCACGTGCCACGTGCAAAACGAAGAGGTGTCCGTTTTGTAATTGTTGCAATATCTCGGTAACTACTTGGCCGATTGCGCTGAAAGTTGGCATGTAGTTGGGCACCCACTAGGCACTGCATATCCATGTGCCAGAGTTGGGGCGCTGCTGCACGTGCGCACGTGCAGGGGTCGTTTCCAGATCTCGAGAACGGCTCGACCAATTACTCTCAAATTTGGTACACAGTTAGGGACCGGTTAGTAGGGTGCCGTGCACAAGTCAGTTGGGACCCATTTTGCACGTGCGCACGTGCAGGGTGCCGCTTCCAGATCTCAAGAACGGGTGGGCCGATTGTGCCCAAATTTGGCACATCGCTAGAGACCGGTTAGTAGGGTGCCATGCAGAAGTCAGTTGGAGGTACCCCCTCGCAATTTCGCACGTGCAAGGCCCACCCTCTCGCTCGCTCCGTTAGTCGCCCCAAAAGGCGTTATACTGGTATTTTATTGCTAGATAGCATGGGTGTAGGAGCTGAAAAAAAGTGTAGTGATGGGTAAACAATGTGGCAGTCAGACGCTGTGAAATGTGAAGTAAAGCTGCGCTGGTGGTAGCTGTAACATGGCAGGCGAGATAGAACTGGTTGAGTGAACGATATGGTTGAGCTACTGCCGCTGTGTCACTCAGTGCTCGGGGTTACATGAGCAGAGTTAATACGCATTACAAACGGACTACAATGGTGAGCGAATAGGAAAATCCGTTCCTGATACGCATTTACTTGCTCATGTAACCCCGGTAAGTGATGGCCAGAAAGAACGGTGTACTGCGTGCCTTTGAGAACAAGTGCGAGATAGGTTTCTGAGAGGAATAACGTAAAGAAGATTACCAATCGCGGCTTTTTCATGAGCCATGCCGTTATCTAACGGGGACAAACACAGAAAGGCTCAGTCAGAGCTTTTGGTTTGCGAGGTGTTGGAGAAGCTCAGTATGTTGTGGGAACTTAACGCTGTTCAGTGTGATTCCGTTGGCTGTTGCGCTGTGGTCCTATGTAGTCTGTAGAAGCATCGTTTATCTCCTCTCGAAAGTAACACTTATTGTATAATTTTGCTAGCTCGCGAAGTTTAGTCCCAAAGCTAAGGAATGTTCATTGTAATTGCATCAATAAATGCAGGACCGAAAACAAATGCGCTGTTCTTCGTCTATTTCTTGTCGGGATTCTTAATCGACTGATCTCATTTTCTATTACCGGAAACAACTGTTAATACGTTTAACTACATGGCAACCCTGACTGCGTATAGTATCGCAGGTACGCTGATGTGGCCTTTGGTCGTGGGCATTTACACATGAACCTGCTGCTGCGACCCTTATCGGTCTCCGGATACAGAAGCCCTTGAGAACCGGCGCGGGCGGACCTTTCGGACGAGGTCTTGCCGAGGTGATGCGGGAGGTAGAGGACGGACCGTCCATAGCGCCGGTGAGCTATTCTCTAACTATCTCCCGGAGTCAGGGTGGCTGCAATTTTTTTTTCGCTGCCCTGGCTTAGCCGGACTGACAAAAATGTAAAAAATCAAAAAAAAAATCCCGAAATCCGAGGAGAAAAATAGGGGTAGCTCGTTTTTTTTTTTTGGTTCCTAAGACTGGACGTTTGAAATTCTCGCCGACTTGCCTGGCGGCGCAATGTTTGCCCCCCCCCTAAACTCAAATCCTAGATCCGCCACTGAGTTCAGCCCGCTCGGCCCCAGAGTAATCTCCATTATATAAATGGATTCACTGCTCGGGCTTAAATCGGGCTAACGCCAATCGTCGCTCAGCTAGGGCTAAACTACGGCTGTCCGGAGCTCGCAGAGCGGACATACCTCCGGCAGAGCATGGGCTTAAGTCGGCGTTTTTGTGTCATACTCATACGCCGACTTTAGCCCAAGCACTAGCCGACTTTAGCCCGACTAAAAATCTCGGGCAATCCGCACTTGAGCCTGCTTGGGCCCGGAACAAAATTGCTGGCTGGGGTCAGGTCAAATTAGGTCAAATTTCAAAGTTGATATTTTTGCATAAACTGGGTATCGATTCGATGCAGCTCGTCACGGGGAGTCGTCTAATGGTGGTTTTGTTTTGCTCTACGAGGTCTAGAATAGCCAAAAAATGAGTTTGAAAATTTGACGTCATCATTTTTTTTTAGTTTTTTTCGCAATAACTTGGCCAAAAAACGAGGCATCGATCTGAAATTTGATATGTAGATAGAAGACGGTAGGTACTATCACATATATTCCGGTTTTTTGAAACTCAAAAAAACGTTTTTGATTTTTTGGCTAATAGGTATCTATATCCAAAAAATGTTTTATCAAAACTCAAAAATTTCAAAATCCGAGATAGCAGTTTTGTAGCTCTGCTCTGTCAATTCTACACCTTTTATGTCTCATCATTTTTCTCTATCGTTAAAGCTGTAGGCCTGACAGCTCTTCTCGCGAAGGTCTTTTTTCGGTCGAAAATGGCAGAGCATGACGTCATTCTGACGTCATTTTTGGCGAACCTATCATAGCCTCTCGAAAAATGTTTTGTCACAATATGTAGAATTGATGCCCAGAGGGGTTCTCAAAGTTTGGTGGCGATATCTCCAGCCGTTTAGGAGATATCGACGGAAAAGGACAGGGGGGAGGGCGTTTCGCCCCCCCCCCTACGGGGCGCGGGTTAATTAATGTCTTGGAGGGTCATAGTGAGCAGCATTCAATCCGCTAGTTCATTACAATTCAATATGAGGTGCCTTTTTCGACTCCCAACCTCGAATGATCGGGAAATGTTGACGTAAAACTCGGCTGAAGGTCCTCCAAGGCCCCCCTGTGCCATTTCCACAACATTCGCATTTCGCTCCCTCCCCAGTCCCCAGAAGAGGCACCCCCTGCAGGTGTCGGCGAGCTGAGCTGAGGTCGTTAGGTCCGCCAGTCACTGTCACCGCTCCAAGTGTCAGCGGTGAGTTGGGAGGACAGCGGTCGGCGGTGACAGTGCCGCCTGGACGGCGATACGATACACTCCCAGTACACAGCCGGTCCCCAATGGCCGCCCGCCGCTGCTGTACCGGCCCCCTGCCGCTGCTGCTGCTGGGGCTGCTGCTCTGGGTACGGCTCTGCCACGGAGCAGCCTGGACTCGACCGGCCACCGTCCACCCCGGTACGCAGGACGCTCCGTCCCCACCTAGCTGTGCCTATTTGTTTGTTTGTTTGTTTCTGTTTTGTTGGGTTAGTTAGGCCCTTTCGGTCCAATGAGACCATTTCAGAGCCGGGAGGATGATGGATATAGGGGGAGACATTGGTCTTGGCAGGCACCCTTAAAGAGTCGCCGGGGCTGAGCCGGTCCGAATGGACAGGCCTACCAGCCCCCCCAAGCACTCTCTGCACCCGGCTACGGGGTGCGCTCCCTCGGGAGCAGCGGTGCCGCTCCAAGGGAGCAGCCCGCATGAGATAAAGGTGCCTGTCCAGCCCGGAGTGGGGGTTGCGGCGTGGAGGAGAAGGATTTCAGTATGCTGAGGATGGAAACGACGGAACGGAGGTGCTGTGCCTAGAGAGAGACGAGGTGAAATGTATGCCAACTGCACTCCACCCGTGCCGTTAGGGGTGTTCAGTCCCCTCCCTCCCTCTCCTCACTTGATGTTGTTTTTACTCTAGGTCAAACTAGGAAATAGGTAGGGGAAGGAGGGTGAATTGCGCCACCATAAGGAAAAACGCTAATTGTAAGAAAATCGCTTGAGATATAAGCATGCATTGGTGACCATTTCAAAGAGGAACTCATTGGCTACGATTTAAGAGCCTCCCGATCAATTAACCCTCGCACGACCAGGCCATTTCTCATAACACGAAAGACCAGGGGGGGGGGGTTGTTACGACCCCCCCCCTGGCGTTTCGAAACGGAAGGTCGTAGAGCTTAGCGGAAAAACCAACGGATTGCTCTCAACGAGATCTCGCGATTGGTGGTATATTTTTTGGTCCTAGGTCAACATTTGACCTACTTTTGACCGGTCAAAGGTCAAATTTTCGGAAAAATAGACTTTTTTCAACTTTCGGCGGCGATTGCGGCAAAACGGTGGGAGATATCGACTTGAAACCTTCACTATCGTGTTCCTTGATAAATTCTCTATCGTTTGGTATGTATTTCGTTTCCCTAGCTCTAAAAATGGCGCGTTGAGAGCGCCGGAAGTCGGCAAGGTCACAGTCGGCGGCAGAAATTCGAAAAATCAAAATTTAAATTTTTGAAATCTGATTGTATTTTTGGATTTGGGAGGTCCATTTGCTCCCTATAGAAGCTAATATTGCTGCATATTCCCATTGAGGTGACAAGAATTAGCAAAATAGTGGTTCGGGCGCTTTTCAAAAATAGTACCGGACGCTGTTCCTCTTGTGACGTCATAGCTCCGTGACCTGACCTGACCCGGTCAAATTTCTTATACCATACGATAGCCAATACTTGCCCCAACATGCATGGGAAGTTTCATCACGATCCATCAACCGATGTCCGTACCACCGGCAGGAAACCTCGGGCGTTGGCACTCAGTTTGTGAAAATCCGGCCGGAGGCTGTACCTCTTATGACGTCATAACTCCGTGACCTGACATGACCCGATCAATTTTTTTTTCGGCAAAAGATGCGCAAAGGTTGCCCCAGAGGGTATTGAAAATTTCAGCCCGCTACGACAAGCCGTTTAGCGTGCACTTCGAAAAAACCTCAGGGGGGGTTGATACAACCCCCCCTAGGCGTTCTAGGGTTAAGAATGTTTCGTTTGCTTCTGACAGCTGCTTTTTCAGAAACATGTAAAAGGGCGCATTTGCCAACAACTGCTGTAAATTGCGCCAGGGGGATGGCGCAATTAGAACCCAATTGCGCCCTATACTTTAACATGGCTAAGCGAATGAGACGGAATGCATACCCCCCGGCAGTCTAATGTCATTGCGGCTTACTTTAACATTCATAATATTATTCACGCTGGTTAACCCTCGCCCGTATTGGTGTTTTTCCAGCCGCGAACGTATAAGGGGGGGGGGGGGTCCGTTGGACCCCCCTTGCCGTTTCGACCCTAATGGAGCTAGAGCTTCGCGGAAAAACGAGCGTGTTGCCCGTGACGAGAGGAAGCCGATGATGCCTAATTTTAAGGTCCTAGGTCATTGGTTGACCTTGCAGGTCAGGTCAATGACCCGAAAGTCGAAAAATCGGGACCTGTTAGAACGTCGTAAAGTGTGGCTGCTATGGGGTTTTTCGGGGCGCTGATCACGAATATCATGTTAGTTTTGATCACAGATGATGTCTTTATGCATTTAGTCCAGGTCGGGTCAGGTCAGGTCAGGTCAACCAGTAGGGGTCCTGCCGGGTATTCCTAGTAGGTGTCAACCGTCTCTGACAGCTTCGTAACATGTTACGAAGGCACCAAAACTACTTCGTAAATGTTCATATGGTTGCTAAATTCGAATTCAGCTCCAAAAACTGGCCTAGAAACATGTAAAACTCGAAAAAGTGAACCGAGGTCACCAAAGGTCAATGACCTGACCTGACCTTCAGGTGACCTTGACACCCACCCTATGCATGGGGGCAACATCATATCACATGTTTGAACGCTTGAAACCACGAAAAGACTGCAAACGCGCGGCTAATGCGAGCCGACATACGCCGAATCGCGATTCCCGCCAAACATGGTCTCGAAAAGTAGGTCACAGGTCAAAGGTCATTGGGGTCAGGGTCATGAAATTTTCAGGGTAGGTGTAAAATTGATCAATGCGAGGGTACTGAAAGTTTCGTCGCGATCGGCCGCTTTTTACGCGAGTTATTCGCGAAAAACCATGGGGGGGGGTCCGTTCGACCCCCCCCCCCCCTATACGGGCGAGGGTTAAATAATAAATGTAGGTGTAAATCGCGATGTTTTTTTTTGCCCAGGTAGATAACTTTACATGTGTTTGTACGCTTGTAAAAGTGCAACGAAAACGTTTACTGTAACCGACTAGATATATGTGAACGTATGCGCCTATACTGTTATATTTCCAATCGTTTCTCTCAAAATTAATAATTTTTATTGTTTCGACAGTTTTATGACATCAGTTTTTACTTTTTTATCATAGCTGTCACCTCTCACGCCTGAGTCCATGTTGAAAATGTCGTATTTTGTCAATTACACAAGTTCGTAGCCTAAATGGCAGCTGCATTATAAGTTTGACGAGAGAAATAATTTGCGGACTGACGACAGCGGGTTGCTCCCCTGCCTGACATTAAACTCCTTCTTTATTGCAATCAGTTAATGATGCATTCATGCTGTCGTGATATACAATAGCTACACCGTTATTCTATTTGCGCCCCCTGGCGCAATTGCCATGGGCGCAATTAAAATTGAGGTACTTTTTAATAAAAGCGTGGAAGTTATCATAAAGATGTTGAAGGAAATTAACTGTTTTAGTGAAATATAATGAAAAAAGGGGTTTTCTTTTTAAATATTACTCTGAAAATCACACAAATATCACACATTTTTATAGCCAACGGTTCAAAACACTGCAAAAAAGCTAAGAAAACGCCGTAACATCTTTGATGGCGTAATGAGCCTTGCTGATTGGCTTCCTCGGGGAGCTTGGGCCATAAAAGGAACTATCCAGTGGGGAAAATAATGTTTTCGAACACAAAATTCAAAACATGCCATTGAATCCGTGGGAATGTTGGTGGGCGCAATTGGTTAGGAGGGCGCAATACACCCACTTTCCCCTACTACTTACATAGAATGACATATCGAGTGTCGAATGTCCCCGCTCTGCCTCAAAGTGCTCCGATAGGACTAGCCTAGTCCGTCTAGTCGCATTCATCCACCGGCGGTGACCCCCTCCCCCGCCCCTCGGCAGGCCGGGAGGGCGAGTGCTATGTCTCGGAGGACGATGTGGACGTACCTGGCGGGATCTACCTGAAGCCGGGTCAGGACTACTACCGCTCCCCGGCCGCCTGTGAGGTCTTCAAGTGCAGAGAGTCCTCCAGAGGTCTGGAGCTCAGCTTTTATTCGTGAGTCGCTGTGACATTCAACAGCTGCTCAGTTCGTATGGAGATATTGTTCATTGAACTTACTCAATCCTTTGTTTATTTACTCAATGCCGAGTATGTACGAACGGGTGACACCTTCCAATATGTAGTTGAACGGTCGTACGTACAGTGGGTCTATTTAAGATCTCCAGAGCCACCACGTGGCGCTACGGTCGGGGTAAGGCGAGTCCAAATCCCGAGGGAAGTGAGGTCACCGGTCATTGTGGGGGAAGGAGGGAGGGGGAGTGACGCGGTATCACGGCGCATGGGGCGTGCGTAGCGCCGGGAGTGGGCCGCCCAGGGCCGCCCGCCACTGCGCCGAGGCTGAGGGGAGGGGATGATGGTTGCGGGTGCGTTCACTCCGGTATGGTGGTATCCTGTTCATGTGGAACCGGCAAGAACGCGACTGAAGGGAATCATCATCTCAAACAAACGGGCAAGCGAGAGGCAGCGTCAGTTCCAGCCAAAATGTTGAACAATGATAATTGAAATCTAGGACGTATTCATAGCATGCAACTTTTCAGTCGATAGTTGCATGATGCTTTTCATGATGCATGAGGCTTTTCTAAACTGTTATTTGAGTTAGATATTTTTCATTTGGCACGTTCAGTTTTGGTGGGTTTTATCGGGTCGAAAAGATTCAGAAAAGAAAAAAAAAAGAAGAGTTGAAATGGCTCCAGACAAATGACCAAAAATATTTTCCTAAAAAATGAAACTTAGCTAAACGTTTATAAGCGATAATTTTGGCTTTTGGGGAGGATATTGGGGAAAGATATTGGGAAAAGATGTCATCGTGCTTAGCTGTGTTGCAGTAGAAGGAAAGGTTTTGGTTGTGTCTATATAAAACCAGCCCCGGGAGTGGGGCTCGAACTCACGACATCGCGTTCAGCTCACAGGTTACCCAACCTCAACGCTACGAGCACCTATCGCCCTGCGCAGCTTGCTCAGTGTTTCGGCTAAAGTTCGGCGAAAGTGTCTGACGTCTGTCAATGTCACGAGGCGAAACCCCAAGGTAAATTTCCGTCCCGGTAGCTCGGTCGGTAGAGCGTTGGACTCCATGTGCCATGTGGTGAAGGCACACGTCCCGGTTGCAAAAGTCCGGGTTCGAAACACGACGTGTGCTTGACGTTTTTTAGCCTCCTGACGGGTATGGTTGTGGTTGGTGGCAGGCCCAAGGCTATAAAACTCCGGCAGGCCGCTGCCAGGCGAAGTCAGTGAGGGGACCGGCCGTGCGCGGCTATGTGCGCACGTTAAAATTTGGACTCTAAGCCATAGACCATTTTCCCATAGACTAAACCTCAAAACCATAGTCTGCAATAGACCAGGAATTGCTTGATCGGAGGGTAGATGGCAGGGTCAACGCTTAACAAGCTCAGCTTAGCGGGGACTCTGTCCTTGTGATTCCTTCCATTCAAAAGGTTCGGGCCAAATTTATATTAACCCGCGCCCTGCTGGGGGTCCTGGATTTCCACGCCCTGCTGGGGGGGGGGGGGGTGTTTGAACACCCCCCCTTCTAACTCGGCTCCTGGGCCACGTAGCGATACGCGGAAGGCGGCGTTCGAAAGGGCGTCAAAAATAATGAGGAAATCACTTCGGTCAATTTTTTGGTCAGGTCAAAGGTCAGGTCACCAGAGGTCATTGAATGCAAAATTTCGCCGATTTCCAGGTCGAATGTCGAAAATTTCCAAGAAGCCAACGCATAACTCGGGAACCAATAGAGGTACAGCGCCGCGGAAAAGCGCATTCGATAGCCCTATTAACGCCCTTTCTGAGTAATTCTCTCAGATTTGATCTAACGTCAACGGTTTTGCCTGCAGGGGGCAAAAACTGCAAAAATAGCCGATTTTTTCGGAAACAGTTTTTCTGCAATAACTTTTGACCCAAGCCTTGTACGAGCTTACTTTTACCGGCATCGTGTTCCTCTCGTCAAGACGCATCGAATGAACTATAACTTGACCTTGAAAGGTCAACTTGAAAATTTGACCTCAGGTCAAGGTCATGACCTGACCGGGAAGGGTCATGTTGCATATCAGTCGATCCGTATCGTCGAGCTGAACACATCTATGGCGTTTTCATCGCTCTAGCATGCCTCTATCAAAAGTTATTTGCGAAAAACTGTTAGATACCATTCGTGACCTAAGATGACCTCAGGGCATAAACAGGGGTCACACTCACGGACACCATTTTCATGTTCAGTGTGTCTAAACCACTTGTAATTCAGTGTTTGGGAGTGTTTATAATGTCTTTCGTCCAAAAGAGGCGCATTTCAATTTTCTCCCATTGACTTATAATGGGGAGGTCGCAAAATTGACCTGACCTTAGGTCATCGATATCAAAATTCTGAGATATACATTTTGTACATGCTATTGCTCTTAGCAATCGCTGAAAGTTTCAAAGCGATCGGTCACTCGGTGTGGCTATGACAGACATTGAAACTTTTTATGAGGTGAGGTCACTTCAAGTGACCTGGTGACCTGACCTTGAATGACCTTGGTCTGAAATTTTCACAACATGTGTAGAATTGATGTATAATAAGGTGTACCAAAAACGGCGGCGCTCCGCGCCGCCCTTTTTGAGATATTCGCGAAAAACCACAAGGGGGGTGTTCAAACACCCCCCCAGCAGGGCGCGGGTTAAAAAAGGGGGGGCGAACCAGGTTGGGCCGAGTTGAACCAGGCTGGACCGGGGTCATACATGCAATCATGGTCAGACAAAACAGAAGTTAATTTCGGGTCAATTATTTTTATTATCTGATCTTATTGTTTTTAAGCTTACACGTCTAATAACTTTTAGCTTTTTTAACTCGAGACTTCATGCACAGAAATGTGGCGTTCGTCCACTTTTCCTCGTCGTCTCTTAGCGACTTGATTTCATGTGGCGGCGGAACGGGGGGGGGCATCGGGGCACCGTGCCCCCGTTTGATTTTGGCATTTTTGGCATTTTAACATTAGCCCTATGGGCGTTGCATGGAAAGAATGGGACCAAAAGTCGGCAGTGCCCCCACTTCATTAAAGGTGTTCCACCGCCACTGCTTGATTTGACCCTAAAGGCGTCTTACCAGCAAAAAAAAAATCACCTGCGTTATACCTAAATATTTGCCCAAGGGACGCCAGCCGGTCAAAAAAAAAAAACTGGCGAACGAATACGTTGTGCTTGAATTATATTCAATGAAAATTTCAGGAGACATGAATAATATTAATCCTAATAGCTAGGCGCTCGGAGCATTCGCTAGCATTCCATTGCCAGCTGCATTATCAACGCCACATTTGCATTACTCTGGGTGCATCATAAGTAACAGTAGGTGAACCGGCCACCGCAAAACCATGCCTCATTATCCTTTCCTTCCAAGCTGCCAAGCTAACCGGCCGCCCGGCCCACCACCGCGATATGGAACAACACTGGAGTGCGCCATTTGCCTACGGCAGTGCCCCACCGCGCCGGCCGCCGGGGCTGTTTGACAGGTCACCCGCACCGTGATCTCGCCACGCGCCCCGCCTTCCCCCCCCCCCCCGCCCAACTCCCTATCGGGCCCAGCTCGGTAGTGACCTCTCCTTGAATTTGACATGGACTCGACTAAGGCTCAACGCCATCTAGTTACGTCTGGAGATCCTAATAAGATCCACTGTACGTACCCATGACAGCAGGCAGTGTTTCCTGCTATGCATTGGTGAGGCCATCCGAGACCGACGTTGAGAAAAAAGGTAGCAACTTAATTTGGTTGGTAGCATTGGAAACAAATTAAGTGTTTTCTGTGCTATTTCAGGTGCGGTGTGCTCATCCCTTCCGAGGGGTGTACGCTGGTATCCAATGATACCGTCAACTACCCGCACTGCTGCCCCGAGATCCGGTGCTAGCTCAGCTCCGAGATCGGCGCTGGGTATGGACTGTCGTGTGGGATGTCCGTCTTGACACCAAGAGTGGTCAATACACGAGTTCGGAGGCGTCTCGATAGTGTTTGGGACCAACCGGCCACACCAATACTCACGGTCGTGGTGGAAATGAATGGCGCGCGATCTGGCGAGTGTTTGTCGCTATTCTCGATTTCCCGTTCCCCCGAGAACACACATTAGGCCACTCCAGGCTACATCACGACTCCCGCTCCACGACTCCACCCCAGCAGACACAGCAGCTACACTTGAGATGTCTTTATTTTTCAGCGCGCGTGGCGCCGGCGTCCACCGTGCGCCGAGCAGCGCGGACCACTGTGCGCCGGGGGACCGCCCCGCGGCCCGGGGGTCGTCCCACCCGGCACAGTACACACATGGAGAGCACACAGTTCACACACAGTTCACACACAGCCCGGGGCGACTGCGTAAGTCGCCGGTACACCAGGGTCGCACTGACCCCGCCGACACCACACAAGCCGGGCGTCCCGGCACACCGCACAACACTGCCGACGTAGATCTGAGGTTACTGCATGTACTGGGTTAGTCGCCTGTGTGCACTGGGTCCGGCCCGCCGCACAGGGCCATTCGTCGTCGTTACTTTGTACACGTCAAATCCGCCACGGCGGGTAACTCGCGCACTGCCGGCGACCTCCTCATACTACAGGTAGCGCCCATATCGTAACGTTTTAGCATTAGTAACGTGCTGCGAGCTGATACAAATCATTAATAGCGCAAAACACCAATCCCCGAGCGTAAGTCGCCAAGCGTCGGACCCAGAAGCCCCCGGTTAGCCGCTGTGGGCCGGCGGTGGGCACCGTATGGTCCGGTTTTCCATATCTACAGCGTACAGCCCAGACGGAAACTACTCGAACCCTGCACCTCTATCACACTCGGCGCGACCGGCCGCCGTCAGTTACACACAGACGGAGAGCGATATACCGGGGCGGCACTGCTCGTGCCGACACGTCCGGCCTCACACCATAGAATTGTAATATCTACTCTCTGATCACCATATACAGTCTCTGACACCACACACACACACCATAGAACAGCAGTCTCTGACACTATAGACAGTCTCTGGCTCCACATACTACCATAGACAGCAGTCTCTGACACTATACAGTCTGTAGCACTATAGACAGCAGTCTCTGACCAACACAGCCACCTAAATAACATCTCAGTCCCCGCACACGCAGACAGACCCCGGCCGTCCAGCCGCTCACCACTACACCGTACGTCGGCGGCCCGGCCCGGCTGGTCGTTGAACTTTTTTTGTACATTTTACACTGACAGTCTGACCTGAGGGGCGGCGGTCAGTCGAACACAGCAATATCACGGCAGGGCGAGGCGGCGGCCCGGCGCGACTACAACGGCGTGCCGCCGCCGCCGAGCGCCCGAACTATGTACACAGCCCTGTGGAACACATAAACACCACACCACACACACACACCGTCACACGGGGGCAGCGGGAGCGGGGCGGACCGCTGGAACCCGGCGGCCGGTCAGAGGCATAGCTACACATCTGTACACACCGAGAAACAGGAACGACTGCAGGAGGACGACGTGGGACGTCCACCGCTCCTGAGCGACGACTCTCCCGCTCTCTCCCCTACTCTTCATCCTCCCCCTGTACCAGCGCCCAGCACTCCCCACTTCTCTCTCCCCTATTCCTCTCCCTCTCCCTCGCCGTCTTCCCCTGTACCAGCGCCCAGCACTCTCCACTTCTCTCTTCCCTACTCCTCTCCCTCTCCCTCGCCGTCTCCCTCGGCTAGCGCCCAGCACTCCTCGGCCTCCATGAAGTAGCGGTTGGCGGCGCGCCCCTTCATGGCCGCCGAGGCCTTCTCGGCGGCGCTGTTGAACACCTCGGCGGCGCGCGAGTAGTCGGGCTCGAGGCGCGGCCCGCCGGCCTTCAGCATCTCGGCGCAGCGTCCCATCAGCAGGTAGGTGGGGTCCTCGGCCACGGCGCTCTCGTCCACATCTGTGTCCGCCGCCAGAGCGTACCTGTGGTAGACAGAGGCACAGGTATATCAGTCACAGGGCCGCCAGCGAGTACCTGTGGTAGACAGAGGGACAAATATATCAGTCACAGAGCTGCGCAAAGTACCTGTGGTAGACAGAGGCACATGGATATCAGTCACAGAGCCGCCAGGGCGTACCTGTGGTAGGCAGACATACAGATAGGAGATACAGGAACCACAGTCATAGTACTTGTGATACACACAGATAGACACAGACAGAGAAATTGCAATACCCAACAATAGACAGTAAGGCAGCACAGGCATTCTGCAGCGCTGCCCAGATGGCTCTATTCTAGTCTCCCTCTCCATAAGTTCTGTCCCCTCGCTCGGCCCACACGTGAACCACTCCTGACCCGTGCAGTGGGACGCTCACCAGTGGACTGCCTTGTTCCAGTCGATGTCCTTCTCGCCGGCCGGCAGGTAGGTGCCCAGCTCGTAGCTGCGCGCCAGATCCACCATGGCGGCCCGGTCGCCGGCCTGCGCGGCCCGCTCCAGCAGCGAGATACCGCGCCGCCGAGTCTCCGCGCTGTCCTCCAACTGGGGGCACGGGCGAGCCGGGTCAACGGCAGGTCTGGGTGGCGGTGGTGATGGAACAATAGTAGAACAATGACACCAGAACTAGAACAAATCGTATTGACGGAACTGAGGGTACTGAAATAACGTTCCGAGGGAGCGGAACCATCGACAAACATTTCCAGACATCGAAAAGTAAGAAAAATTCCATCTTGACATAAGACTCTATAAAACAGCCACCATCCTGTGCTGTATTCTCCACAAATATCCCACCACGCTGCCAGTTGGCGTGGACCTGCATGTCAGTCAGAGAGCAGGCCCTCCTCCCCCGTACCCGTACGGCCCACCCCGTCCCGTACCACCCGTCCCTGTAACTGTACCCCGTCCGCCCGTACCTGCACGTCCGAGAGGAGGTCGTGTGGCCGCCCCAGGCAGATGTCGGCCAGTGTGATGATGGCCTCGCGGACGCCGCAGTCGACCGCCCGCTCCAGGTGGAACATGCCCGCAGAGCGGTCGTACGCCGCCGTCTTGTCCTCGCCCAGGAAACGACCCACCTGTGAGCGGCAGAGAGGGAGAGGGGAAGAGTCAGAGAACGTTACCGACCAAAAGACGGGGCACAATACACTGGGTGCGGAAATTTTCGATCAACAGAGGAGATGGCGATAGATCTTTGATGGTGATGGTGTTGAATGAAGGAGCGATATACACGTAACACACAAAGCACAGGTTTTGAGTGAGATACCTTACCACATATTTACTACGTTTCCATGGCACAAGTTATGCCGATTTTGCAAAATGATTTTTCTCCTTATCATTTAGACATTTAAAATTGTAAATGTAGGAATAGGTGCTAGCTAAAGCGATATATACGCCTTTTTTTTGCATAAGGTGAATAGTATCCGAGAAAAAACTCGCGTGAAATTTTGATAAATCGATTTAGAAGTGTCATGGAAACGTATTGATCGTCCGATTATTGGGTAGCTTAGGTAAACGCTACACCTGCTCCCACCACAGGATATTCTTCATCTTTATACCAGCGGGCCAGAGTCAACGGTCCTCTAGTCCGCAACCCGAGCGACCCGGCCGTACTCTCACCTCGTGATACTTGGCCAGGTCGAAGTGGATCTGTCCGAGGATGGAGGGCGCCTCCGCCGTGGAGATGCGGCACACCTCGGCCTCGATGTTGGACGGCCGCTGCTTGTTACTGATCACCTCCTGAGAGAACAGGCGGGGACACACAGTGGTAAGACGATAAGTCAGTGATCAGTGGACACTGCACACCGCTTCGCTTATTCGTGTGTAGAGCAGATTTGTAGGAGGAAAATGCTCAGAAAACGCTAAGCGCATAGGTAATGGATGAACCAAAGTTTGACAGAAACTGAAGATTGATAACAGGAACGCAGCACAATTAAATTCATACGATACAGCTTCCTCACAATAAAGCCAACTACGCCAATACATGAGCATGTGACGCCGAGCCCCAGCGCCTGACCATCGCTCCCCCACCGGCGAACCGATGACGGGCTGTGCCCTACCTCCCCCGGCGGACCTAGACAGTGTACCGTCTGTACCCTCCCCTGTACCTGGAAGAGGGCCCTCTGGGCCCGTCTCTCTGTACCTGAAAGAGGGCCCTCTCGGCCTCTCTGCCGCCGCCGCCCTGGCTCAGCAGCGGGTGACTGCGGCCGCTCGGGTGCAGCGAGGGCACCGTGTGCGGGGGCCGCTCCGGCAGCGAGGGCGACGAACAGAGGCCGTCCCCGCTGCTGCCGGGACTGGAGCCGGCGGCCGGCCGGGGGCAGGACCACTCAGGGCAGGAGCAGGACTGGAGGAGGGAAGCGGGAGGACAGGGGTAAGTCACAATGTGGAAGGATCGGGAAAACAGGGGGAGGGACAGGCCAGGGGTCAGTTGAAAAGGATAAAGCTGAACATCAGATGATAGGTCGACAGGTTGGATCAGAAGGCACGACACGAGTTACGAACAGCTAGGGGTGCAAGGACACGTAGGATAGAAGTGACAGCGCGTATCGAAGGCCACCCAAGTTACAGGTCACATGACAGTTAATGGTAAGTGCTGGGTCAACTGACTGCGTCATCAAGAGGTGGCAGCTCTAAGTCCTTACGCGCGGAGTCGGAGCCTATCAGACTCCGTTAGGCCGCCCTGCAGCGCCATCTAACGGGTAGTCCTCACCTGGAACCTTACACAGTCGCTGGCGAAGGGTCTGTCGTTCTCACCTGGAACCTTACACAGTCGTTGCCGAGGGGTCTGTCGCTCTCACCTGGAACCGCAGACATTCGCTGGCGAAGGGTGGCGAAGGGTCTGTCGTTCTCACCTGAAATGGAACCTTACACAGTCGCTGGCGAGGGGTCTGTCGCTCTCACCTGGAGCCGCAGACAGTCGGCGAGGGGTCTGTCGTTCTCACCTGGAACCTTACACAGTCGTTGGCGAGGGGTCTGTCGCTCTCACCTGGAACCGGAGGCAGTCGTTGGCGTCCGTGGAGCCCGTCGAGCTCTCGCTGATGAAGCGGGTCCGCTTGGCGATGAAGGCCGAGTCGCGCGCGGAGTCTGACAGCTCGTTATAAAACTGCGGCGGGGACGACGCCTCCTGGGAACAGGAAAACGAGGGGGCGGTCACCGCGCGCTCATAGAACAGGAGGTTGCTCACGGCTCAGTTCACGGCAGCGCAGTCTGGGAGCCCGGGTCACGGCACAGTCGGGCGAAGCGCAGAGAGCCGATGGGAGGCAGCGTCTACCTACATTTATGGACAGCTCTGACGATACTATGGGAAGACAAAGATCTTGTTTTTCAGTCCTGTCAAACTTCAAAAGGGAAGGAAATTTTCAAATTATTATTAGTTTCTTAAGCAAGCATGACACTCTGGTCGGAGCTATCAGCCTAGGACGAAATGACGCTAATTAACAATCGTACCAGCCAACGGGAACACATGGCAGCCGGTATTCTCATCCCCCCCAAAAAAAAAAACGCCAGCAAACTTTCAAAGTCCTCACCCAGTCATCCACTCGCCACATCTCCCAACCCACCATACTGCTTCCCTCGCTCCCTACCTACTCCACTGACAGAGACAGTGGCGGATTCACCAGCGGACTGGTGACCTCATCCCCACTCCAGTGGTGCCCCTCTCCCTCCCTCCCTCCAGTGGTGACCCTCTCTCTCCCCCCCCCCAGCCCAGTGCCTCACCAGCGGACTGGTGACCTCGTCGCCGCTCCAGTGGAGACCCCCTCCCTCCCTCCCTCCAGTGGAGACCCCCACTCTCCCAGTCCAGTCGGCGGACTCACCAGCGGACTGGTGACCTCGTCGCCGCTCCAGTGGAGACCCCCCTCCCTCCCTCCCTCCAGTGGAGACCCCCACTCTCCCAGTCCAGTCGGCGGACTCACCAGCGGACTGGTGACCTCGTCGCTCCCTCCCCCTATTTTGACCTCCCTCCCCTTCCTCCGACTCACCAGCGGACTGGTGACCTCGTCGCCGCTCCAGTGGCCCGAACTGGACGAGCGGCGCCGCATGTACTCGTGCAGGTCGAACTCGTGCTCCCGCGGCGAGGCGCACACCTCCTCCAGACCCCGCGACAGCGTCTTACTGCGTTGCTGGGGAGAAGATAGAGGTGTAACGGAGGTCAGATGGAGATAACGGACGTTAAATGGAGATGCAACTATCAGCTGTGCATGAAGGAAGACAAACAAATATAATGAAAATGCTCGTAACTCTGACTCTCTGTCTGTCCGTCTGTATCTCTCTCTGTGATCTCTCTCAGAGAGAGATCTCAGAGAGATCTCTCGTCTGTGACCCTCTGTATCTCTCTTCCTCCCTTGTCCTGCAGTTTGATCTGTGTGGAGAGCTCCCGACTCTCTGTTTATCTCTGTCTCTCTGTCTGTCTGTCTGTCGTCTGTCTGCTCCCCTTACCTGCAGTTTGATCTGTGTGGAGAGCTCCTTGCTCTCGGTCGGCGCCAGGTCGAAGGCGGTCAGGTTCAGCGAGTGACAGATGGTGTTACAGACGTGAGAGTGGAAGAACAGCGCCATTCCGCGCGTGCCCAGGTTGCCGTCTCCGTAACTCTCTCCTGTACAGGTGGGCAGAGGGCGAGGGGAGGTCAAAAGGTCTCCGTAACTCTCAAATGCAGAGGGGCAAAGCGGACGGGTTATCGGGAGCTAGAGGGAAACGCTCAAACATTTCGCCAGCAAGACACCAAACAATGTTACAAAACGATTGGATTCCCTGGTACTCATAATGAGGGGTAGGCGAATAGCGAAGGTGACCATATTAACCTTCACGACGAATAATCCTGCAATCTAGGACTCGCCTTTCTTGCACTTCAATACACATCAACATACACTGAAGTTAGCAATTCAAAATGTTACAAAGCCCTTTCGCTGAATCAACAACCAATGACGAACTCTATCCTGTTTCTCAGTCTAACTAGAACCCCCTCACCCCCCCCCCCCATCCTCACCGTCGGCGGTGTGGATCTGCGGGTCCGTGTGGAGGTCCCCCCCCTCCCACCTTATCGGGTGTAGCCTGGCGACTCACCATCTGCTGTGTGGATCTGCGGGTCTGTGTAGAGGTCACCCCCGCCCCCATCGGGTGTACCCTGGCGACTCACCGTCGGCGGTGTGGATCTGCGGATCCGTGTAGAGGTCGCCCACTCCTTGGATATCCACGACCACCAGCTCGTGACCCGACCTGGCGGCACAGGTCACAGTACACAGGTCAGGTAAGACCACAGGTCAGGTGACAAGTCAGAGGTCATGTCACAGACCAAATGGCAGGTCACAGAGCAGGTCACAAAGTGTCAGATAGACCGCTCGGGGGCAGAGGCACAAACGTTTGGTCAAGTTAGACCAGCGGGACAGCCATCATTTACCAGCAAGCACAATGACTGAGTGTCCGCCTTCCCAAATCCTCTCCCAACTGTCATGACAGACACGGTATGTTATAGCGCGCACAGCCTCCTCCCTCACTGGTCCCTCCCCACCCTCCCGTCCCAGCTCACCATTCCCTCACTAGTCCCTCCCCAGCCAGTACGGGACAGACTCTGCGCCCGCCAGCGGCTCGTCCCGGTCCTCACCGCTCGAAGGTGAAGTGGCTGAAGGCCTGCGGTGTCAGTCGCAGGTTCTCGTCGCGCACAAAGCCCGAGTTGGAGTTGTACTTGACGTAGCTGCCGTCGATAAAGTGCTCGAAGTGGTAGAGCGGCTTGTCCGGGCGCTCCGTCATCTCCACCACACACATCTGCATTATGTCCACCTGTGGACGGACAGTAGTGTTAGTCCACACACCTGCATTACGTCCACCTTTGGGGGAGCAGTGGACACTCAACTCACATCTGACAGAGGCGGGACGATGTTCACCTACGGAGGGACAGCAGCGTGTGTGACATGGAGGACGACAGAACGCAGCGACACTGACAACCGCGCACACCCTACACGTTTTTGGGCGGGTTGTGCCGGTTTTACTCCCCTCCCCGTACCTTTTTGGGCGGGTTGTGCCGGCTGTGTCCCGCCCTCTAACCCACCTTTTTGGACGGGTTGTGTCGGTTATACTCCCCCCCGTACCTTTTTGGGCGGGTTGTGCCGGTTGTACTCCCCCCGTACCTTTTTGGGCGGGTTGTGCCGGTTATACTCCCCCCGTACCTTTTTGGGCGGGTTGTTCCGGTTGTACTCCCCCCGTACCTTTTTGGGCGGGTTGTGCCGGCTGTACTCCCCCCGTACCTTTTTGGGCGGGTTGTGCCGGTTGTACTCCCCCCCCCCGTACCTTTTTGGGCGGGTTGTGCCGGTTGTTGTCCTCCCCTCCCCCGTACCTTTTTGGGCGGGTTGTACCGGCTGTACTCCCCCCGTACCTTTTTGGGCGGGTTGTGCCGGTTGTACCCCCCCCCCCCCCGTACCTTTTTGGACGGGTTGTGCCGGCTGTACTCTCCTGTACCTTTTTGGGCGGGTTGTGCCGGTTATACTCCCCTCCCCCCCGTACCTTTTTGGGCGGGTTGTGCCGGTTGTACCCCCCCCCCCCGTACCTTTTTGGGCGGGTTGTGCCGGTTGTACTCCTCGCTCCACAGCTTGGCCTCCATCTGCAGCTTGACGTCGTCGAAGTAGGTGCGCCGGTCCACCGGTACCATGTACGCCTTGGCCACGTAGTTGTTACTCTCGCGGTGCCACGACGAGTGGTGGCAAAAGTTGCTCAGCTTCTTCCTGTTTGAGCAAAGGGTTGGCCGTGTTTAGACGGACGGAAAGGCAGGGTAAGGAGGTGAAAGCGACTGCGCGGTAACGCCGATAAAAAAAGGAAGCATTTGTGTTCACTCGCACCCCTTTATTCTACAGAAGCTTATCAGTTCTCTCGTTAGTCAAACATGCCCAACCAAAGTCGGATTCCCTTTCAATACAGACCCACAAACTAACAGCGACAGCCCAGTCAGCCCGGTAACAGCCGTGGAGGAGGGGTGACGCACGTGACGGTATGTTATCAAATACTGTCCAAGAACAACATGCAGACGGAAGGGTTGGCGGCGTCCCATGGTAGGTCTAGCCTCGGACGGCCGACCCAGTGGGCGCCTGCCGGCGAGGACCGTGTCAGACACCCCGGCAACAGGGGAGGGTTGGCGGCGGCCGGGGGTAGGTCTGTCTAGCCCCGGACGACCGGCCGCCGGGGGTACTCCGTCAGACACCCCGGTAACAGGGGCAGAGTTGGAGGCGGCCGGGGGTAGGTCTGCCTAACCCCGGACGGCCGACCCAGTGGCCGCCAGCCGCCGGGGTACTCTGCTAGACGCCCGGCAATAGTCAGCGGCGACCGGCGCAGGACGCCTAACTTACTGAAGACATGCGGATTGTGGAACCGTTGCGAGATCTACCAGCCATTCACTAATCCCGTCCCTGGCATTCACTCCGTGCTGGACAGGATCACATCATCTAAGTCGGACCGCTACACGGGTGTTATCGTCTGCATCTAAGCACCAAAACAGCCGAAAAACGGTGTGGGGCCTCAGAAAGAGGCAGGCTGACTGACGAATGCTAAAAGCAGACCCTTAGAGTCTGACGACTGAATAATTCAGCTCGGCGTCTGAGACTGAGCCCCGGCATGACAATTTTATTCTAAGCCATTTCATAGCTCACGCCATTGCTGTAGTGGCTGTAGTGTCGATGGCGAGTAGCGACCCGGGCCCAGGAGCATTCCCAAAAGAATAGAGATCGCCGGCATGGGGCCGAGCTGGAACTGCGCCTAAACTGAAGTCACCCAATACAGCTCTGTTGTTAGCTAAGTGATGCCCATCTGGGCATCTACCAGACACATATAGACATTTGTATTGTAACTACGCACAATCGGTGCCTGGAATAGTAAGTCGGCGGTAGGCATTTTTCCAGCGACTTTCCCAGACAGATATTATCCGCTGTCAGCGATCATACACGACAGCGCAGATCACGAACTACCTCGGACTGCACACAGACAGCCGGCGTTTCCCTATTACCCCCAGACAGCTGACAGCTCTCCCTCCCCTCCCGCACTCCGCCCCCGCCGTAACGCCTGTCGTGACCTACGTGACTGGCCTGTCCGACCCTGTGAGCCCGGCTAACCTTCAGCGAACCCTTCCCCATCCCCACCGGGGCCTGAGTGGAGACTCACGGGGCGTGAGTGGGGCAGTACTGTCCCAGCCCATTCCTCGTCCCGCCCCGGCCCATTTCGCTCCATTCCGCCTCCACGCCCCGTGCCGTCCCATTCCGCTCCATTCCGCCTCCTCGCCCCGTCCCGGCCCATTCCGCTCCATTTCGTCTCCTCGCCCCGTGCCGGCCCATTCCGCTCCATTCCGCCTCCCCGCCCGTTCCGTCCCGTCCGCCCAGCACTACTCACGCTCGGAAGCAGCGGCGCATGGCTCCGGCGTTGAAGTGTTCGGGCTCCATTTTGATGGAGACCTCGTCGGTGACCCAGGTGCCCGTGAGCGCCTTGTAGCGGTAGCGCGTGGCCTTCTCCGTCTTCAGGCCCTCCACGTCAAAGTTCTCCCACGAGTCGCCCAGACTGTTGGCCTGTAAAAGGCAAGAAAAGGGCTGTTAGATGCGGGGTGTTAGACGGTGGCTGGGCTCGGTCCGAGACAGTTGGAAGGGAGTAATACGGTTAAGGCGGCTGTGGAAATCCGTTGATATGTGAAAGTTCTCGCTAACAAAACGGTGTCAGTGAAGTCCATAGCGTTGAGGGATTCTTCCGAAAGGGGCAATGGATAAATGGGGGAGAATGGCTGCTGTCACCTTGTCACGGCTACTGTCGGAGAACCGCCTCTATTTTCGGTTTAGGGTGATCGCGTGGTTGGTCTTTGAACAGCGATAATGTGTCGCTCATATCACTCAGATGATCAACAAGCAGCATGCCAGGCGTTATCAGTTAATCGCCATCATTCAATACAGTATTTGATTTAACCCTCGCATGTGTAGGGGGGGGGGGTCGGATGGACCCCCCCCCATGGTTTTTCGCGAATAACTCGCGTAAAAAGCGGCCGATCGCAACGAAACTTTCAGTACCCTCGCATTGCTCAATTTTACACCTACCCTGAAAATTTCATGACCCTGACCCAAATGACCTTTGACCTGTGACCTCTTTTCCGAGACCATGTTTGGCCGGAATCGCGATTTCGCGTATGTCGGCTCGCACTAGCCGCGTGTTTGCAAGCTTTTCGTGGTTTCAAACGTTCAAACATGTGATTTGATGTTACTCCCGTGTGTGTCAAGGTCACCTGAAGGTCAGGTCAGGTCATTGACCTTTGGTGACCTCGGGTGACCTCGGGTCACTTTTTCGAGTTTTACATGTTTCTAGGCTAGTTTTTGGAGCTGAATTCGAATTTAGCAACCATTTGAACATTTACGAAGTAGTTTTGGTGACTTCGTAACATGTTACGAAGCTGTCAGAGGCGGTTGACACGTACTACGAATACCCGTCACGACGCCTACTGGTTGACCTGACCTGACCTGACCCGACCTGGTCTAAATGCTTCAAGACATCATCTGTGATCAAAACTAGCACGATATTCGTGATCAGCACCCCGAAAAACCCCTTAGCAGCCACACTTTACGACTTTCTAACAGGTCCCGATTTTCCCGACTTTGGGTCATTGACCTGACCTGGAAGGTCAACCAATGACCTAGGACCTTAAAATTGGGTATCATGGGCTTCCTCTCGTCACGGGCAACACGCTCGTTTTTTCCGCGAAGCTCTAGCTCGATCAGGGGCCAAACGGCAAGGGGGGGGGGTCCAACCGACCCCCCCCCCCCTACACATTAGAAGCTGGCAAACGCCGCACACATGCGAGGGTTAAAATTAATCCACTCCAGTTGTGAGACAAAGGAAGGTGGCGGGGAGCGTTGTGGGAGAGCCCGGGTCTCGTATGTTATGTGTCAGTTGGTCAAGCCGACAACCAAACAGCCCACGCAGTGACGCAGTATCCAAAAAGTCTACCGATTCGTCTCAGAACCGAGGTCTGCAGCTCTAAAACCGAACTGCGCGCGGCAACTGCGTAAGGGAATGGGTGAGGGGCGCAGTTACGGGGTCTAAAACGCGTTAGGTAGTGCAGAAAAGGCCACGGGGGGGGATGGAGGAGGATATCGCCAGACAGCGGCTAAAAACTCGACAAACGGCAATCCTGCAAACGCAAACAACTCTGCAGACGGCGGACGGCACGCCGACACAGGGGCACGACAGACCAAACTCTCAAACGCAGGGGCTCACCCGAGCGGGGACTAGCGCGCGCAGCTCGGGCGGGCAGATCACGGGGCAAAAACTGCTCAGCTAGAGGCAGACGCGCGCGGAGAGGGACAAACTGCGAGCTAGTTAATATGAGGCACACACGGGCAGGATAAACAACACGGGCAAACGCACACCACGCGCAGGCTACAGCTCCGGGACCGGTACCTTTGAGTCGCCCCTCAGCATGGCCAGGACCTGTCAGACGGGCAAACACGCACTCAGCACGGGATTCGAACCGCGGACCTTTGGCGCGACCACCGCCGAGAGGCTGTCCCGACACATGGAGACGAGTTATCCTCAATAACCTAGAGACAGGCCACACACATTACGTTCTTAGGCGCCGACATATTTATCACAAACACTTTGGATGCATTGACACCAAGACAAAACACCCAGCCTTAATTAGTGAACAGGTTCGACTAAGCCGAGGAAAACTGGCGCAGCGGGTAATTCGTGCGGCTCGCGGCCGAGTCGAGAACCGTATCGAACTACAAAATGGCCAATTTTCGATTACAGCCAACAGGTCACTGACCATAAGTGCACCAGCAGAACGGAAGAAACCCAGTCCCTGAGCGACTCTTTCCCTATTGGAAAATGATTTACCTACAGCTTGTGCGCAATTCTAACACAAAGTCCAACAAGGCAGTCGGGACGGCCTGAAGCGAGTATTTTCGTCGACCGTGCCGGCCTACCTAATTCTATCAGCATGTTCATCGACGTTGCACCGAGCCCAGCTACCAAAGCCTGCATTCTATAGTCTTCCAATATCGATATCATTCAAAGCACGGCGCACGGCCCGACAGACCACCAAAAGCAGCCGAGTGTAAGAACACGCCGAGCTATAAATACCCGGTCTGCCTCAGGGCGGCGCGTCGGACCCGCTGTTGCATCAGACAAGGTCAACAAGATCCCTGTGCCGATTCCGACCCCCCTACCCTCCCCCCCCCCGGGCGGGCGGTCGCCAAAACCGTCTCGGTGACGCACGGACTCCGCAGTGAATGATGGATTCCTACTTTTGTGTGATAAATCACACAATACAGGCACAGGCCTGGCTGATATAGATGACGAATATACGGTTATTCAAACGATGCCTAGATATATGCACCTGATAGCATGCTCATGCACGCAGAGGCGTACGATATTGGAGAGCCACTCACAGGCTAGTTTGAACATGTCCCGTCAAGATAACCCCGGATTCCTTCACAAGCCACCTTAGTTGCGGGAATAAGAATCCAACGTCTAGATAGGAGCAGCGATACGCCATCTCGTCCTATCAAACTGCGTAGGTTCTCTATCGAGACAAGTCCCGTCTAAAACCGACGGTCCCCGTCGGTACCCAAAATACTCAGTAGCCCACCTCCCCCTTCCCATCAACCCGGGTCACGGCGGTCTCTGATTGGCTGGCGGCGCTGTGACGCAGCACGGGTCGCGGGGAACACCCCCCCCCCCCACCCCCACTGACCGGCCGGCCGGCTGTACCGGCCGGCCTCAGCCGATACTCAGAACTGCATCCATCCCTGTCTTTACCCGCCGCGGCTCGCGCTCATCCAGAGCTGCGGTCTCGCTATCTGCAGCGGCCGTCCCCTCGCCCCTGCAGTCGAGCCCGGATACCAATGTGGCCACCCGATGCCCCGTGTCGGTTTGAAGCCTCGTGCCCGAGACCCGGCCCAGTGCCGGGTGTCGTGTTGGTAGTCGCCCGGCCGGCCGCCCTGGTAACAGACTGGGCCAGCCCGCCTGTTTATACCACACTCAGCTGAGGCCAACGGGCACGGACAGCTGGAGCCTGGAGGCCAACATATTTGTGCACTGTGCAGCCAACAGTGGTATCGCTGAGGACGCTTATGTATAGTTTATATCTTAACTAGAAGCCTAAGAGCTGAATGAGGAAAGAGAAATGGCTTCTCGACATAGCGCAAGCCACAGCCACCATAAGGCGATAACATACCAGCGTTTCCAGCGGCGTTCGACTTACCATCGCGTAAATAATGAAAATAGCACATCAAACGCTTCGTAGTCATGAACTCGCTTAGGCGAGTTCATTCAAACCATTGAGAGCGTAAATGTATGAACCACATCATTGCCCGACCTCGGAAGTCATTCTGAGCAGTGCGCATGGCATCAACACTCAACAGGTCATCGTACGTGGTGTCAGCAGGTCACCGGTGCACTCAATAGTGACCCCAAAGGGCTGACGTTGAGTGACCAGCACATGGGAGAAACGTCAGCGGAAGGCGATCCTGCGTCTGAGGCCTGAGGGTGATAATGCAGCCTAGACCCGCGGTCAGACGTGTTTGTGTCGGAGACCTGCCAAGGCCAACCAGGATAAGAGCCATCGAGCTTCACAGAGATAGCGCGCGACACACCGCGCTCCCGACAAAAATAAACAGCACCCAGACCCAGACCAGTGGTCTGTCTGTCTGCAACCAAAGACAACAACAGATACCCACCAGACCTGCGATACCTCCTTATGAAACTTTGGAAGCCTGAAAATAGCTCAGCGATGGCGCCAGAATCACGTCGATTGATCCGCCAAAACGCAATCATTCTGCAGTTTCGCGCTATCCCCGTCTGTCAGCTTCCCGTCTGCTATAATCACGTGCCAGTGCCACCCCTGACCTACATCGCGCCGCGGGCCGGCCGCCGAGCACGCTGTTTACGCTGGCGTGCGGACGCGGCCGGCGCCAACTCGCATTGTTGGCAGGGCACCCGGGGTTCGGTGGTTCGGACGGGGTCGGAACACCCTGTCGGCGCCGAGACTGGCGACGGCCTCAGCACAACACCGGTACCGACTGGCGCTGGCCTCAGCACAACACCGGTACCAGACTGAGGGTGATTTCAGCACAGACACCAGACTGGCGCTGGTCTCAGCACACCACCGATACCAGCCTCAGCGCCGGCAGCGGCACCAGCATTAGCACCTGCACCAGCACAGGTGTCCGGAGCAGTGCCAGCGCCAAAGCGGCCGCCCGCGCCGCCGCGGAGAAAGTAGATGACAAAGGTGGCGGAGGCGGCGCCGAAAACGTCGCCAACTACATCCAAATATAAATAGCTCGTAGTATGACTGAATTAACAGCACATTCCCAGCCTGACATGGCTTCGGCCATCCGTCTGTCTCACGGTTGGAGCCATGCTCTGCCCTTCGTCCGTTTCACCCTTTCTGGACAGAACGTCTTAGCCCTCCTTCTTCAGACGACTTTTCGGCTGTTAGAATTTTCTCAGGCTCTGACATTTAAACTCAAACCCTCCTGCACCCGTCTCTCCATCCGTTTCTCAACTTTCTATCTTCTCTAGCCCTTTCTTCATTTGAAGCTCGACGGCTGCCGTTCGGCCTGCCGTTGGCTGTTATGCTCGATTCTGTCTCGATTCGACTCCGTTGGTTCAGCTCGATACGCGGCCAGACGGCTGGTGGCACGCCTTCCAACTGCAGTGCGCAGTTGTGCGCCCCGCCCCGCCCCTTCCCAGGCACGACACAATAAGGAAGGTAAGATATGGACCGTATGGCACGGCACGCAAGGCATGACAGGGCAAGGGCAGGGGTCAAACGGTACTTATTCATGGGACGGTATGGTTCAGGAAAAATAACATAACAATACGGCAAAATGTGATACAGAGTACGGTACGGAACTGCTTACCTGAGAGGCTATAACACAAAACGACGCAATAAGGTGCGACAGTGTGCGATATTGGTTCGCCCAGGAGCGGCCCACGGCACTGCATGTTCGGCGCGCCACCTCCCGACACCCGCCCGGTCAGCCATTCGTTCCCACTCGCTCCCCACTCCCGCGCACCGGCAGGCGCGGTGGTCACTGGTCGCCCCTGACCACCGCTCCCGTACAGGGGCGAACTACCGGGAACTCTGCATAACGCCCCCGCGCACTGTAGGCCGGCAGCCTGAAAAAGCGCTAGAAATTCCCCCAAATTGACTGTCCGCAATATGAACAAAATAGGTATCATTTAATCCCAAATTGATTGAAGAATACGATTCCGATGCTAGTTTTGTCCTAAGGTCAAAATTGAGGTCGTCAGTTGTCACCAAACACAAGACAATTTAGACTCTCTATAGGCCACCACATTTACCGATTTTAATGATGAACTTTAGTGGTAATTTATTAGTTGACCAATCGTCGTTTTGAACGAAATTTCCTGTCAGACTAGTTCAGGGAACTGTTGTTCACTGTGCCAACATCATTCTGACATATTGCATCGCTTTTCTGCAAGATAAGCTAGCTGTTTGCAAGCAGCTGCAAGACGTAATTTAAAATCATATCCAATTTTTCAATTAGACTTTTATAAAAACGTTATTTCGAGCAGCTAAAAATGAACATTTCATACTAGCCTCTGATTACTCATCTTTTGTTCCATATAGGTGCTTTGCTGCTTTTCCCTGCTACTTTTCGAGATATGCGCCAGTAAACCACATGATGTAGGGGCAATTGTCACCTCGCCGCTCTACTGAAGGCCCGGCGCTCTTTAAAACGCTGGAAGTTGTGAAAAACAAATGCTTATAATCTAAATGAAATATATGTCCCTGAGCTCAGAATTGATCAACGCACACAATGCTGTCAACATTTCTGGGCCAAACTAAAAAATTCAGTCATTATTAACCACTAAACACAAGTCAGTGATAATCAACAACAACTTGCTCTTTAGTTAGACTTTTTGAGAAATGTTATTTCGAGCCGTTAAAAATGGCCATGCCATACAAACCACCAATCATCTTTCTGTCATGCCCTACTCGCAATTTTTGCTAATGCCTGCTACTCTTCGAGGTCACGTGACCTCACCATTAAAAGTGAATGGGGAAATAAGGAAACTGTTGTTTTTGCGCATGGAATGATTTCAAACTATCTCAAGCACACGGAATCGTGATTTCGTGCACTCCTTGCAAGATCCGATGCTTTACTTTTGCATTTTTGACCTTCCGTGACGTCATTTATGACGTCACACCGGTCATAGGAGTTTCTCGTCAATAACTCATGATCAAATTGAGCCAGCGACTCGGGAAAGTCACCAATGGACTCGGGAAGACCTCCCGAATCGAATGATATGCGATACGACCTCCTTCGATTAAGTTCGTGGCCTGATGGGCTCTGAACTGACCTTGACTCGAGGTCAATACCTTAAGTTGACCTCACCCGAACAAAAAGTATACCATTCGACGCGCCTGAGCCAGACGAACACGATGGTGCCAAAAT